CTCTCTCTCTCTCTCTCTCTCTCTCTCTCTCTCTCTCTCTCTCTAAATAATGACCAGGAAAATGTTGTCGTTGTTGTTGATGACCATAGTGATAATAGAATAATAATATTTAAGAATTTCTGAATATAAAAAAAAAATATTTGATAATTTTCATTGTGTTTTTTTGAAATGAATGTATTCTGTTTTTTTCCTTCATTCTTTTCTCATCATCAATTTTTCATTTTCAATGTCATTATATTCTCTCACTCAGTGTGTTTGTGATGTGAAACAAAACAAAAACAAAAAATGGAAAAAAAATTTGATGCGAAATTCAGTTTTTTTCCCTGATGCTCAATTTCTCGGTACAATTTGTTTCTCTCTACAAAATTCTCACTTAAATGGCCAAACAAAAAGTTTTTTTTCACAGAAAAAGCAAAAACAAATTCATTACGTCAATCAAAAAAAAAAATCTACATTCAGAGTCGATGGCAGAGAATAGGTAGATTTCAAAACGAAAAAATCAACTACAATTATTATTCAAATCAGCCCCAAAAAAAAATTTTCCACCAAAAAAACATCAACCGAAACACACACACCGTGTAAATGTGATTAGAGAGAGAGAGAGAGATAACATTCATTTTAGGGATGCGAATAATTTTTTTTTGTTTTGTTTCAAACCAAAAAAATGCATCCCACAATAATGATATAATAATGATGATGTTCAAAAATGAAGGGAAAAAAATTGAATTTTTTTTTTGCTGTTGAAAAAAAAAATATTAATGATATTCGCTTTTCTTGGATACACCTGGTTGTTTGTAAATCATTTTTTTTGTTCAGATGATGATGATAATGTTTTGCGTGCATTCAATTGGGCAAAATCAATTTGCTGTTGCTTGTTGCCTGTTGATCCATTCGATGATGATGGTAATGGTGTGTGGAAACGATTTTTTTTCGTTTTTCACCAATTCATAGAATTTAATAAATTCACCATTCACCAATTCAAATGTCAATGGATATAATGATAGGATTTCTTTCTAGTTCTGGTCAGTGATTCTTTCGAGTGAAAAGTTTTGTTTCGTTTGGCTGGATGATAATGTGAAAAAGATGATAATCAAATTTATGACGATCATTTTCGACAATGATGATAATGATGATGATTGTCCGATCGATCGGATCGATCGACCAAAATGATCTCAATTGATCGATCGGTATTTTTTTGCTTTTTGTTGTTGTTGTTGTTGTTGTATAATGACCAATGCGTGTTTGATTTTTTTTTCAACAAAAAAAAATTTCATTTTTTTCAATTTAATGGTATTTTATGAAATGTAATTAACCTTTTTTTTCTACCTTTTTCTACCGAAATTTCTTATTATATTTTCGGTTATTATTATTATTATTATCAATCATCGATCAAAATAAAACCAAAAAAAAGGCATCAACAACCAATTGGACAATGTACATTTATTGATGATGATAATGATGATGATGATGATGTCGGTGATGGTGATGTTGGTGATGGCCAAAACAAATTTATCGGCAGTGATACTGACGGTAGCAGCAATAATAATGATGAACATTACAATTGTTTGGATTGTAATCAATGTTTCAATGATCAAATATCTACACTTAAACATGCAAGGTTTGTGTAAATGTTTTGTTTGCAAATTGAATTTTGACAATTTTTTTTTAATTCAAAAAAAACAACAGAAAACATGTATTACAGGAAGAAATTACATCATTAATATTTGAAGAAACAAATGATCCAAATTATTGTAATCCAGAATGTTTATTCAATCAAAATGTACGACATTTACATTGTCGTATGGTATGTTTGTTTCGATTTTTTCTGAAATTTCTTTCTTTTATTGATTAACGTTGAATCTAATTTTCTTGTATTCAGTATGGCTGCATATTTACATTATCGGTTGAAGATAAAACATTGAAAAAATTTGAACATTATAAATTTCATGAAGAATTACAATGCAATTATTCATTTGATTCGGATGAATCAGCGTTTGCTAATCTAAGTGGATATTTATCGGTGGAAAATCCACCACAAACCCCGACATCATCATCACAATCAACACCGCCACCACCACCATTACAACAACAACAACAGCAATTAACCCTTCAACCGTTTATGTCTGGTGTAACGGCAACAACATCATCACAATCAATTCCAACAACTTCGATAACCAAATCTAAATCATCAATGAATAAATCCAAACAAATATCATCACCATTACAACAGTTATATTCATCTGGAACTATTTTAACATCTATCGATGGTATGCCTATTTTAAAACGTAAACGTGGTCGTCCACCAAAAAATCGTTCAAATGATATGCTAACAACAACAACAACACCAACAAAGATGTCAAAAAATAATTCGAAAAATAATCGATCAGCATCAACAATACAACCGATTACATCAGCAGCAGCACCATTATCATCATTTGATTTTGCACAAGCATTCAATCTACCATTAAATCATGTACAATTTTTAGCAAATTTTCCACAAACAAATGATGATGATCTATCTAAAACTATACCGATACCATTCATAATGCCATATATAAAATCATCAATACATCATCAAGGTTTTTATGTATTCGATGAAGAAACAATATGTCCAGATGTAACTTGTAATCATATTGGACGAAAACATTTTCATTGTTCAAGACCAAGATGTTTTTTTAGTACAAATCAAGATGATAAACTTGTTGAACATTCAAAAGATTTTCATGATAATATTGATATTCTTGAAGGTTTTGTTTATTTTGATCAAAATATTGATTGTAAATCCGATTATTGTCGTCATAATCATCAAGAATGTCATTTTCATTGTACACGTATTGGTTGTAATTATTCATTTGTACGTTATTCATCGATGGCCATACATGAAAAAGAACATATAGAAAAATTACGATCATCATCATCATCTTCAACAATAGATCAGAAAACAATCGATGATAATCGTTCAGATGATAATAATGATGATGATGATGACGAAAATGACGGTGAATTTTCACCAATGTTAACCATACGTTCATCACTAAATGATGGAAAATTTGAAAATGATGAAAACGATGATGACAATGATGATTATGATGAAATAAATGATGAAAATATTAACCAGAAACAAAATGATGATGATAACGATGGAAGCGATAATGATTTAGATCATGTAATGGATAAAAAAACAAATTCTGATGAAAAATCTGTAGAATCAAACAACAATAAAGATACGGATATTGTTGATCGAAAAATGATGATGATGATGAATAATAAAAATGTTAATGATTTGAATGTGAACAATGATTTATCGAATGTAACATTATCAACATTACAACAATCATTACAGAAGCTATTTCAATCACGAATGGAAACAGAATCATCATCAACGACAACAACATCGATACCATCGATGATAACAACTGCTGCTTCAACATCGACCGCATCTTTATCATCATCATCGTCTGCCATCAATAAGTTTGATGATATAATTAAATTACATCCAATTTATGATGAACAAAACGATCAAAATTGTCAAAGTCCATTCTGTAAACTAAAACGACGACAACATTTACATTGTAATATTTGTAATCAGGTAAATTTTTTTTTCGGAATTATTTTGTTTGATTATATAAGAATCGTTTAACAAAAAATTAATTATTTTATCAATGGTATAGGCATTCACTAGTTATGATCGTTTGATACCTCATTTTACCAAACATCAAATGATAATGACCTCATCAGGAATGAAATCCGAATCAACAACAACAACACCAGTTGAATGTCGTGATAAAATTGATGAAATTTCAACATCATCAAATCCATTATTGAATCCAAATTTAACGAATGAATTTTTTCAATTATTTCTAAATAATTTAATGAATTTTCCATCAACAACAACAGCAGCTACAACATCACCGGTTGTGACATCATCATCGACAATAAATCCAGCTTTGTTATCGATGATGGCATCAAACAATCCATTGTTACAGAATGTAACAACAAAAGCGGAAAGTTCAACCGCAACAACAACAACAACAACATCTCGATCAGCATCGGTAAACAATAAACGACGACGAAAATATTCATTTTCAAGCGATAGTTCTGGTTCCATAATCAATGATAATGGTATAATTAATGATATAAATAAAAAACAAAAAATAATCGATGATGAAAATGAAAATGATGATAAAAATAAAGCAACGACAATAATGATTGCTGGTGATGAATCATCACCAAACGGTTATGCTAGATTTCGTTTCAATGAAGATTGTAGTTTTTTATCCTGTGTTTATCGTGAACATCAAACACATTTTCATTGTATGCGAAAAGTATGAAAAAATTTGTGCATTCAATTTTTCAAATGTTATTAAATTTTTTTTTCTGTTTTTGACATTCAAGGATTGTGGATATTCATTTTGTGATAAAACACGTTTCGTACAGCATACAGGTACGTTGTTGTTGTTGTTTTCAATAATTGAGAACAAAAAAAAAAATCAATTAAATTCATTCTATTTTCAAATAATCAATTCAATAGCACGACATGAACGTTTAGATACATTAATGGGTGGTGATTTTCAACAATTTCGTGCAACAATCGATTGTGGCCATTCAGATTGTCCATATTCATCATTCAAATCGATTAATTTTAATCATAATTTAAATAAAACATCACATTTTCATTGTTTAAAATGTAATTATCGTTGTTCGGATACAAATAAAGTTGTTGCACATCGTCGTCAACATAATAAAATGGATAATATATTAGCGGCTGGTTTTGATAAATATTCATCAAATCAAGATTGTCTAATTGAACAGTGCAATTATAAATTAAAACAAACACATTATCATTGTAATCATTGTAATTATTCTGTACTTGGTTTATCACAAATGTCATTACATAAACAAAAACATCATCAACAACAACAACAACAACAAGAATTAGGACAAAACAATAATAATAATGATAATGATAATTCTTCTTCTTGTTTACAAAATGAATCACCTGGATCATCCTCACCTCCTCCATCATCACCATTGGAATCGCGATAGCTTAAATCCAATTACACAAACATACACACCAAAGAACAAAATAAAAGATTTATGTTTTTCAGAATATTTATTACACTATTTATTAATGAAAAATTTTTTCAAATTCCTTATCATCATCATCATTATATTTGGGCAAACAAAACCGATTCTCATTTTTTTTTTTTTATAATAGTGATATAAATAAGCATCTCATCTCAAATCATAATAATATTCAGATGAAACTTTTTTTCAACACATATTTTCATCATCTTATTTTCTATATTTTTTCTGTTTCCGAATAAAGATTTCTGTTTTGAAAATTGAAAAAAAAATTTGCGATTATTTTTTCATGAAAAAGACCAATTTCGAATCCCAAAAGTGATTTTTTAAAAAACCCACTAGCGTCATCTATCGATGAATTTTATCATCAATCATTTTTTTTTTAAATTAAAATTTTTGTTTGTTTTTTTTCAAAATTGTCCGAATATAACATACATGATTATTTATTAAATTTGTGTATCTTTTATGTTGCTGGCAGATGTTGTTTTTTATTTTGTTTTGTTTTTTGTTTTTTTTTTGTTTTCATTTTCAATTTCAAGCAAACAAACAAACCGAGACAAACAAACAAACAGAGAAGAAAAAAATATTCAAATTACCTAAAAGTTCAGGAAAACTTTTATAAAAACAAGAAAAAAAATTCATCATTACAATTCAATTGGTAAGTGTAGTCTGATAAGTTTTATAAATTTCCAAGAAGAAAAAAAAAAATCTTATGTGACAGTGTTTCGAGTGTGTAATATTTTCCATATAATAATAATGATAATAAAGTTAAAATCATAATCATAATTGCCAAAATTTTGTGGTGTGTGCAAATGAAGATCCAGAAAAAGAAAAGAAACCAAAAATTGAAACATTGATAAGTGAAATTTCACTTTTGTTTTTTCAATGTGAAAAATATTTATCCAATGTGTGTAACTTAGTGTGTGTGTTATTTAACACAAAAAAAAACATGAAAATTTTGAATCGAAATCGATATGAGAGTTAATTGTTTGCGTAGGTAGGTGTTGGAAATGGAGAAAAAAAAACAAATTATCGAATCTATCGATGTGTTTGTGTGTGTGTAGGCGTATTTGTATTTTGTATCAAATGTTTGGCTTTATTTTCAATCAATATTTTTGTTTTCTGTTATTCATTAATTGTTGTCTATTTTGTGTTGTTGATGATGATGTTTTTTTTTTACTGCAAATTCTATTTATTTATTTTATTTTTCGCCCACATTTTCGTTAATTTAATTACTGAACCAAACAAAAATGACCAATACGAATACAATACCAATACCACCCATAATTAACATCATTTTCATATTTTTCCACCAATATTTTGATTTTAATGCACCGGCTTGTTTTTCAAACATTTCGGCACCTTCTTTCAATGCATCGGCACGTTCATCCAATTGTGATATCATTGTATCACGTTCCAATACTTTTTCAACATTAACACGCATTATTTCGGTTACTTCATCCACTTGAGCCTGTGTTTGTTGCATACGTCTTGATGATGCTTGTAATTGTGGATTTGGTTGTGGTTGTTTATTATCACCACCGCTACCTGTATCGGCATTTTCTCCACCCCCTTTACCTTTTGAAGACCTAGAAAAACCCAAAAAACAAAGAATTAATATTATCAAATAATATTATTCAATGAGTTAACTTACATAATGAGATTATATGTGCTGTGATAGTAGTGTGTGATTTACTTAATGAAAATATTGATATTATTCTAAATTATTGATTACTATTGAAAAACTATTGATTTTTTTCCGTTGATAATTTAAAACAAATAACAACTGATTGATTGATTGATTGATTAACGGATTCGATTTTAATCACAACAAAATTTTGTTAACAAATTTTTTTCAGGCAACAAATTTTTCTGATCAGAATATTAACGAACAATGTTGATGACCAGATAGAAAAACCGTTGGCGAAAAAAAATTCTTGAACAGAATTTAGAATTTCACCAAAATAAAGAAATTCCAAAAAAATGGTACATTTATTTGTTGTTGTTCATATTCACACTCAATGACAAAGACGACGACAACAACAACACCAAAAGCAATAGCTGTTTATTTCAGTGTTTTGGAAGAAGAAAAAAACCGACGATCAAAAAAAAAAATATATATTCTTTGAATCATTGAAAAGAGAGTTGAGTTGGAACATTACATACTCACGGGCAAGGCATACAAGGAGCCAAAAACAAAAAAAAAAAATATTATTTCGGTAGAAGCAAAACAAGGATCCTTGGTTGTTAAAAGATACAATTCTTTGCTTTTCCTTTGGTTGTTGAATCCAAAATACAAATTTACTGATGTTACTTAGCGGGTTGTTGTTTGGTATATATCACATATGTGTGGGTGTATGTAAGCGCATGTAAAATTGCTTTAAAAAAATTTTTTGTTGTTCCATTAATATCGACCAAAAGAATTTTTAAAAATATATAGATTCTTGCTTATTTTGTTTGATATTTTATTACACTAAAACGATGGATGGATATTGGTATGTTATATATATAGATTCTGGATTGTTGTTTTTCCATTCGATCCAAATGATGGCAGCCGATTCTATATATGCGACAAGACCTTTAACTTTATTCAGAATTTTTTTTCGTTCGGGTGGGTTTCGGGCAGGATTGTTGTTGTTGTTGTTGTTTTTATCCTTAATCTTGGCCCCCAATATTTATTTCCATAATTTTTATACATTTCTTATGTAATCATCGAACCGAATTGATAAGAAACATTTGCTTTCTTTGCTGTTTCGTATTCAAAACCTGAATAATATTTATCATCGATTATTGAACGGATGTTGAATGTCAGACGAATCGATATTGCCAGATTAAATCGAAATGAACAAGTTTGAAAAACAAACAAAACATTTTCGATTCCTATGAATTTTATAAAAAAAAACAAAAGGCGATTAACGGGAAAAAACAAACAAGGATCGGTAGAATGAAACAAAAGAAAAAAAAAAGAAAATTCAATGATTAGCAATTTTGTACAAAAAAAATAAGGTTTAAAAGAAATTTAAAGACAAAAAGAATTAAAGAAATTTGTTTTTCTAAGAAAAAAAATACAGTAAACTTTCTTTTTGTACATAAGAAAAAAAAATTATTCAAAATTCACAATCAAACAAACAATAAATTCATCTCACCTGAAAAATCAATCAATCAATCAATCACAATCAATTCCTTTTCACAAAAAACACGCCATCATCACCCATCAATCCAAATCCATCCATCCATCCATCCAATATTCCAAAATCACAATTGCTCTTCAATTTCACTTCAAATTGTTTATTTACGCATCCATCAATCCATCCATCCATCCATCCAAATCAATCAATCAAATCAAATCAAACCAAACATTCTCATCAAAAATCAAATTTCAAATCGATATAATTTCTGATCCAGAACACACTTTTTCCATTTCCTTTTTTTTCTGGTTGTTGGGCAAAAAAATAATAATTTCTTGATAACTTTCAAAATTATAAGGGAAACAGGAGATTAGGTAGTAGCAGAAGAACATTCATTTATTTCATCATCATCATCATTATCATTAATCACAAAACATCAAATTCAATCATTCAAAATGATCATACGGGAACAAAAAAAAACAAACAAACACAAAATCAATCATTCCAAAATGTGAAGAATAAAAATATTTTTTAAAGATTCAATTCAAAAGGTGATTCATACATACATTTATGTGTGTTGTGTAAGTTTTTGTGAATGTGTGTCGGTGTTTAGAAAATAAATATGGCATTTTTTTAGAAAAAAATAAGTCAATGATTTCAAAATTCAATGAGGGAGAGAGAGAAAGAGATATGGCCAGATATTCTACTAAATAAAAATTTCTTTTTCGCTTTCGAAACAATCACATCGATATCATCTTCAAAACAAACAGACCATATGTATTCTCTCTCAACATTGATGATTTTTTTTAAAGAAAAAAGATATAAATTTTTGAGGTGGTTATGTAGCTAACCTGGATGGAATATTTCATTTGAATTTCTTTCTGGTTTGAAATTTATGCAATGACAGTTTTCATGCCATAAGAGAGGGAGAGATTTGTGTATGTGACGGTCAAATGTGTGTGTGTCATTGTTGCTGTATAAAATCGATATTATTAATGAAAAAAACTTTTTCTTTTTCACTTATTGTTTTTGCTGCACTTTTCTCTTAATCATTCTATTCTGTTGTTGATATATTGAATAAATATAATTAATTAATAATATGGTGGATAATCGGATGAATTATATTGTTGTTGTGAATAACGATTATTATAAGGGTTTCCTGCATCATGATAACTATGATTTGAACGTGTCGAACCGCTACGTGAATAATAATCATATGGTGAACTTGAATAGCTACCTGGTGGACCACCGGCACCATTACCGGCAACTGATCCAGTACCAGGTGGAGTATGTATTGGTGGACTATCCAAATGACTTTGTGTATGATAACCACCATGATGATGTGTATGTGTAACATAGGAATTTGAATATCCTCCATAACCACCACCACCTCCTCCTCCTCCTCGACCATAAGGTTTACTATTATAGCCAGCACCGCCATGATAATTCATTTCAAACTTGGGCACAGCATTACTCACATGTACGGATATTCCCTTAATTATATGATCTTCACCACATAATGATTGAGCTATATCAAGTTCCCTGAATGTTACAAATGCAAATCCACGAAATGGTTTCGGTATAAATATATCGGATATTTCACCATATTTAGAAAAATATTCTTTTAGATCATCATATTGAATAGCTTCGGTCAGTCGACCGATAAATATTTTTTGGATAGCTTCCTGGATACGATGATCATTGCTAAAACCATCTTTAGACATTGGTACACGTACATCACAATAACGGCCATCAATTAAATGCCTTTTTGAAATAACTTTTGCCTGATTTTCATAATCAGCAAAACGAATGAAACCAAAACCTTTTGATTCACCAGTTTTAGGATGTTTTTTCACTTGAGCCATTATTAATTCTCCAAATTGTTGAAAATATTCTTTTAATTCTTTATCGGTTGTTTTCCAAGGTAATCCCAATACAATTAGATCAGAAACTTTTTTCTTTTCTTCAATACGTTTTGTTTTACTACTGGTCATGTCGGCAGAATCTTCAATTTTTCGTTTATTTTCTATCGTTTAAAAAAAAGAACAAATTAATAATTTTCAATTCATTTCAATAATTCTAAACAAATAAATTACCTTTTGGAAAGCAACAATAATAAAGTGGTACCTGTGTCCAACCTTCTTCAGGTGGCTGTATTTTACCATCAATCAAACGTAAACCACGCATAGTACCGGATTCGGCATTACGATATTTAATACCACTGGCACCCGGAAACAATGATGTCAATGTTGTCAGAAGACTTTAAAACATACCAAAAAAAAAAGAATAATAATAATAATCAAAAAATAGAAACAGAAAACAAAATGGTAAGATAAAAAAAACCCGGCATACATACACTGTATTGTCAGTTTCACAAGGAATTTCAATCGGTTCTTCACCTTCATCTTCAGCAACTTTAATATATTCGGCCATTTGTTTGAAATTGATTATGATGATGATGATGATAATTTAGATTTAAAATTATTTAAAAAACAGAAAACCTTTCAGGACAAGAATCAATTTTCAATTTTTCAATTTTTTTTTGGTCACAACAAAATGGAATGAAGATGAATAGCAAAAGAGAATGATAAAAATGGGCCGTACACAATCAAAAATGTGAATTTGGTAGCGGTGTGCGCTTCTTTTTTTTTCGCTTCTACACTGAGAAAAAAGTGATGGAGTGTAAACTCCAATCATGAGGTTCAACTTCATGATTGGATTGTAAACTCCAATCCTGAGAATGCACTCCAATTTTGAAGTTGAACCTCATGATTGGAGTTGAATCTCAAGATTGCAGTTTAAACTCCAATTTTTTTGTTATACCTCATGAATGCAGTTTAAACTCCATGGTTGGAGTTTAACTTCATGATTGAGGTTTACTGTTCAAAACCCACTTAAATAAAAAAATTTTTACCACCAAATGTTGAATCAAAAATTTTTCATTAAAAATCGTTATTCTGAAATGAAATTGATATTAAAAATAACAAATATTAACATTAATTTTATAATAGCTATTTTATTCAGATTTATTGGCCATGGACAATTGAATGGGCAAATGCACGAAAACTTTATTTTGTAAAAGGTTTCATTTATTGAAGTTGATAATTATAATTTAAAAAATACAATGTTGATAAAAAATTGTGTTGTTGTTGTTGAAAACAATGATAATGTGTGTTGTTGTTGTTAGCATGATCTGACATGATACGTGTTTGTATATTGGGTTTTTACAATTAAAATCGAGATCAGAATTGTCCAATCTGGTACAACATCTGATTATACTATTTTCGTCCAGAATTAAGTTAGGATATTTATTAATTTCGTCGATAAAGTATTGTTGATTAAGTCGAATTAGCATAGTCAATGGGTCTAATGATTGATCGGTTATACGATTGATATGTTGTTCAGTTAATTCGATCCATTGTTCATAGGTTAATGATTGATTTATGATGATGTCACTTTTTATTTGGTTCGATATGTTGATGGTAAGTGAAGAACATTCGTTTAATTCATGATAAATTTCTTTCAATAATTCATTATCTAGCTGTTGAATGTTCATTAATTGTTCAGGACTAGCACCACGAGTGAGTAGATCACTTGGATTTCGTTTTCCAGCTATCCATTGAATAGCGCCGATTTTGTTACGAATGTTGTAAAGATGGACAGCAACACGTTGTGGATATTTGTTGATGTCGTTCGATAGTCGTTCCACGTTTGCTTTTGAATCGGAAACGAAAATAATTTTGTTGACTGGAATCATTGATTTGAATGCGTTTCCGATACTGGAACCCTTCAATAAAGCCAATAGTTCGCCAATGACTGTTTTTCTGGGCTTCACCATTTTCGACTTACCAAAAATATATCTGGCTTCATTGCCGTTGCTCAGATATACTGCAACCCCTATTGCGATGTTGCTAGCGTCACAGAAGATGATGAGATTGTAATTTGATGATGAATAATCGTCGTGGTGATTTGATGTTTTTTAATTCTTCGTTGTCGTTTAAAATCGTTATTGCTTCGCCATGAAGTTTGGGTGGTAATATCTCATCCCAATCGATTTTTCTTATCCATAAATCACCGATGATGAATTTTAGACGCAATATTGTTGGTAAAATTAATCCCATTGAATTGTATACTGACCCGATGATTCCCAATAGATAACGTTTTGTTGTGTCGACGGAAAGATCAATAGATGGTATTACAATTTGAATGTTGTTGTTGATTTTGTCCCATATGATGCCGAGAACTTTGCTCTCACCTAAACCATCTGACCATTGTTTATTGATTTGTGGATCGGAACACTGCCATTTTCGCGATATCATTGATGCTTCTTTGAAGATGTTCGTTGATACCTCATGGAATTCAATGGCTTCCTGTTTGATATTAGCTGAGCTAACTAAATCATCTATAGATGTATGCATAAAGACTTGATTGAATAGCTAGGACGTTATCAGGATATTTTTGTTCGTATTTTTCTAGAAGATGATTGATAACAATGTTCAACAAAAATGGTGATGATGTTAAACCAAATGGTAATCGTAGAAACTTGTAACAGACTAATTGATAGTTTTCTTTCCATAAAAACTTGACGTATTTCTGATGATCTTGTTGTATGAAAACACTATGAAATGCAGCTTTGATGTCTGCTACTAATGCTATTTGTTTGAGACGAAATTGTAATAATGATTTTGGTAAACTCCATGTTGTTCCACCTTTGAATATCGATTGATTCAAATTGTTGACGCCGTTTAATGCGTTGAATACAAGTCGTTTTTTGGTTGTTGTTTTTTCCGATGTTGTTTTTCGACTCACAATACTATGGGGCATATGGTAACCCGTATTTGCTGCGATGTCAGTACGTTGTACGATATTGTCATTTGCTAAATCTTGTATGAGATTGTTGTAGTCACAGTAGTCAGAATTTGACATTGAAGACACTTTGGATAACAACATTCGTTTGGCGTTATTGAAATTTGGATTGATGCTGTTATTGTTGATGATAGGAAACTTTATTTCATAAATTTTTTCGCTATCGTTGTAATTGAGATTGTTGTTGACAAAGTTGCTGACAAATTCACGCATAGCTTTATCATCTTCAGGATTAATGATTGAATCGATAGGTAGATCATGATTTTCAGCAAGACATCCGACGATTTTAGATGGTGAATCTTCGGTTTGACCGTGAACGATATATCCTAGCGATGTCTTACCGATTATTAATGAACCAATATTTTTGTCGGTAGTGAGAATCTTAAGACGATTTACATCGCTGTTACCGAATAGTATGTCAGTTGGAATGTTTTCGTCGTTAAAACTTATGTTGAATACTTTGTTTACATAGTTTTGAATCGTTGTTTGTCGAAAAACTAAAACACATGCAAAAAATCAAGCAAACACGTGAATAGTTTTTAATAAATCTAATAGTTTATTTCATGTTAGCTTCAATCATCGAATGAACAGAAAAAATTAAAACATTTTCGATTATAAGATCGTTTCGAACAAACAGTTTCGAATTTCGAACTTCTGCTTCATGACAGTTGTTGGTAAAACGTTGAATTTGAAATGACATACTGTATCGTCGATTGTTAATTTAAATTCAGTGATGTTGCCATCTCGATCTGGTAATTGGCATTAATTTTATTTACCATTGTTTTAAAAAAATGAATTTTTTCATTTTATGTGCATACAATTGTAACATTATATTTTCACTGTATAACCTGTAAATGAAAATTATTTAATAAAAATTCTTTGTATTTGAATCCATAACGAGCAATTACGTCTAATAAATTCCAATAAATTTAATAACTTTCAATAATAAAATTTCAATTCCAAGATAAACTACAAAATTGAAAGTATTTTCAGAATTGGAGGTTAAACTCCATGATTGGAGGTTAAACTCAAAAAAAATCAAAAATTATGGAGTTTAAACTTCATAATTGGAGCTTAAACTACAAAAAATCAAAAATCATGGAGTTTAAACTCCAACAAATCTCCAATCATGGAGTTTAAACTTCAAAATAAACTCCATGATTGGAGTTTAAACTCCAAAATAAGCTCCATGACTGGAGTTTAAACTTCAAAATAAACTCCATGATTGGAGTGTAAACTCCAAAATAAGCTCCATGACTGGAGTTTAAACTCCAAGTTTTACATACACTCCAAAATTTTGCAATATTTGGAGTTTATTTTGGAGTTTACACTCCTCACTTTTTTCTCAGTGTATTCGCTTTCATTTTGCTCACTCAACACACTTTACCTCTCGCATTTTTTCGGTGTGTTCCATTATAATTGAAGAATTTATTCATAAACACTAGTACATTATTTTTTTGCGCGGCTCAATTATATTCCGAAAATTCTTGTGTGGTTCGATTTAAAAACCCGATTCGAAAAAAATGAATATTGAATATGTTTCCTGTAAAATATCGGCCATTTGTTGGCTACATAATGATCATTGTTTACGACAATCATCAAACGATTCGAATGAATTATTCTGGCTATGTGGAACTTATTCATCAACAAATAAAAATTTTCTAACAATTTATTCAAAACAACAACAATCAATTAATAATGATCAACGATCAGCCGGTATTGTACAGTTGAAAAATATTCATAAATCAGTTGATGCTGATGTTATTGCTTTGGCTAATTATGATAAACGATCATCATTTTATAGCCTATCGAATGGTCAAATATCATTGATACAATATGATCGAGAATCAGGTTTTCAATCCATACATGATTGGTTTAATGAAGATATTCGTGTTCATCAATCAACAGCCATTGTTGTTAATAATTCTTCTGAATTAATTTCTTGTGGTCTTGATGGTCGTCTTATGTTTTTCGATATTCTTTCACGAATGACATCGAAAAGTCGACCATTAACAATGAATTCGCTTCATTGTATGGATAAAATATCCGATAATGAATTCATATGTGGTACAACATCTGGTCATCTTAAAATATTCGATCATCGTACTGAAAATGTTGAATTGAATTTGGCCAATGAATTGTCAATCATAACGGCAGTTAAACGAAACATTCATAATCCACATATTGTTGCCTGTGGTAATGATCTTGGATTATTAAATATTTGGGATCTTCGTAACACTGGCCATCGTCCAATGCAACCTGTTTCAGTTCATGCAGCCGAAATCAATTGCCTTAAATATATTGCAAATGAACGAAATACAATTATGACAAGTGGTTTAGATGGTCAACTAATCAAATGGAATATTTCGAATGATTTTGAAATCGATACTGTCGAAGCGATTGTCGATAAAAATAATACCTATCCAATCAATTGTTTTGATATAAATGAAAATCAAATTGTTTTTGCCGATGATAATGAAGTTTTGTATTTAACAACATTTTAATAACATTTTTTTTTAAAAGTAATAAAATTTATTTTTTAATAATAATAATTAAAATTATAAAACAAATGAATTTAATTCAATAATGAACACCTAAATCAATATGATCATCATACATTGGTGGACCATGTAGTATATATTTTGATTTTAATATCTGTATATTTAAATTATTCGGTATACAAGTTAATTGTTTATGATTGATTGGCATTAATGAACGAAATATATGAATATTTAGTTTACGTTCAGAATGTTGTTGAAAAAATTTAATACAATCAAATATAAATCGTTCATTAAGACCGAATGCTGAATTTGAAGGACCACCATTGTTGGTATCATTAAAATCAATGATAATTGTATGAAGATTTGAACATTGTTGAATAATTTTCATTGCAGTATCCGTATCGATTTGAATTTTATCTAATTTTAAAAATTTTAACAATTTTAAATTACTTATTAATCTTAATGATTGATTTGTTAATGTACAAATAGATATTAGTTTTAAACTTTCAATATTTTCACACATTGTTAAACAATGGGCAAAAATTTCATCACTTATTTTTGATGTTAATGATGTTAGATGTAATTTTTTTAATCGTATAAATGGAACACAGAAAAATGATTGAAAAAATGAATCTGAAACAAGCGGTTCATTTCCACGACCAAACATTTCGAAAATGACAAGTTTTTCTAAATTTTCAAATGTTTCATTTGTTGAATCTTTTACAATATGTTTGGTTGAGAATTTTATCTCTTTTAAATGTTTAAGATATTTCGAAAAAGTATTATCATAATCTTCACCAATATAATTGTATTTCAAATTCAATACTTCAAGTTGACAGCCTTTTTTCGATAAACTTTCAATACATTCATAAAGATTATGAATATCTAAGGAACAAAATGTAAGTATTAAAACTTTCATTGTCACCGGTAAACGATCCATATATTTTCCACTTATCAATGAATTTTTCGATAGATTTAGATATACTAATTGTGGTAGATAGAATGTAATTTGTCGAACAATTTCATCATCAATACCCATATTGATTAATTCTAATTTTGTAAGATATTTTAATGAACGAAAAAATGATGTTGTTGACAATGTACATTCGGCTATTGTAAGCGAACGTAATTGTTTGATGTGAATAAGAAAATTTGTTTGAAACCAATCACCAATCATAAAATTGAATACTTTTAATATTTGTAGATTTTCATGATACGGTGCTAATGGTATTAATTTGATAAAATTTTTAACATAATAACATTCATGTATATCTTCACGTTTAAAATATTTATTTGTTGAATATGAAACTAAACATATGATTAATTCTTTACGATTTTTTAATAAATTCTTGTTGATTAATTCATACCAATATCGACAAACTCTACGCATTGGAAATATATCACGTAATGAAAAATAATGAAATATTTCCATTAACATATCTTCGACAAGAATATCATTGATATTTTTACGGCCAGAATAATCATTAAAATCTTCCGGTTTTATCAGTCTTAAAGCCATGATGATAATTTTTCAACAAAAAAAGCTAAAAAAATATTCAAAACAACTGATCAAAATTGAAATTAAAAAATTATGTAATCAACATTCGATACGTACATTATGAATTGAGAATAACCCCCCCTGAATAAAATTAATTCGATTCTTGATCCAACAAAGAATTTTGATATTTTTGAAAAAAAAACAAAATGTTAATCATCATATAAAATGGATCAAGTAAAAAGTATGAAGAAAAAAGCCGATCTAGAATTAGCATCCGGTGATTATCCACAAGCATTACAAACATATACAAATGCATTGAAAAGAATGATAAAAATTTATGAAATTGATGAAAATAATGGAATACGTATCGATACGATTGATGGTGATTCTCTTATGGAGGCTAAAATCTTTTCAAAACGATCAATTGTATTATTACAAATGAAACAGTATTATTATGCATATGAAGATGCTCGTCATGTAACAGATATTTGTCCCGAATGGTTTAAAGGTTATCTACGACGAGCTAATGTTGAATCTGATTGTGGTTTATATGAAGCATCGCTTAAAAATTATCAATTAGCTTTACGTTATCTTAGTTCAGAACTTAATGAATCAAAACGTAATCATTATGATCGTCAGATTAATGAAAAAATTAACTATCAATTATTTTTGATGCAACGTGAACGTATTTATGATTATCAGTTAATCTGGCTTGGCACGGCAATCGGTATGGTTTTCGGAATGTCTATTGTATTTGTTGATTTTGTTAAAAATCGTACCGATTCTTTCATAAATAATCCAATGTTAAAATTATTATTGATTGGTTTATGTTCAATCATTTTCTATTATCTTACAAGTTTTCAACGAAATTATAGTCATACATGGAAGAAAAAATTATTAGAACGACCAACTGGACATGGTGATAATAATAATAATAATGACAATAAATCCGAATATGAAACAAGAGAAAAAATCGACTAGTCATCATTAAAATTAGCTAATTTGTATTTTTTATTCATCACTACGATATATATAACATGATGATTTAATAATCATCTATAGTTTATGTATGTACAAAATAAATAAAAATGATTGTATTCAATCAATCATTGATCAATACTGAAAGACTTTAAGTCAAAGGAGGGAATTTCATTTTGTTGATTGTAAAATTTAGTTTTGTTGTTTGTTAACGCGTTCGCTACCGGAGATTTCGAAAAACACATAGAACTACAGCAAATAAACGACGCATATATGCGTCGCTGGTAGCGAACGCGTTAACTAAAATCATATGTAAGTGGTATTGGGCTCTGTACAAAGTGAAGAAAAACAAAACAAAACAACATCGAAAAAAATATGTCATTTCAAACTAAATTCCAGTTTAGTCATTCTGTTTGATTCCTACTATTTCGGAATCATTTGTAGCCACCGATGTTAATGTATCTTCATAATGTGAATCACATTCAAGATTATTAAAATAATTTGAATCAGTTGAATTACGTGGAACAATTAGACCGGCATTCATTTTTTCGATACCTTCTCGTAGCTAGAAAATCATAAAAAATTTTATAATTATTCCATTTAAATAAAAAATAAAATAAAACATTTCTAGCATACATCTTTAAGTGCAACAACACCAACTAATCGACCAATAGATGTTACATATGCATGATTTAGGCCAAGCATTGAAAAAAGTGAATGAACTTTATAAATAGTTGTACGTTCAACTAATTGAAATGGTGATGGATCAATAATACATTGATTAAAATCTACTATCATATTTAATTGTTCTTCTTCCCAGGCAAGTTGTTCCTCTGGTGACATATCGATAACTCTTTCACGAGGCTATAAAATTAAAAAATGATTAATTTATGACCATACTTATTCATTCATTCAACATACCAATTGTACACGACGATGTAATGTTGCTGGTGGTGTTGAATTTTGTTTGGATGCTTTTTCCGGATTCGCATCCTGTAATTTTAGACTTTTTAGAAAAATATTTTCAAATGCTTGACGTAAACGTGAATCCTGCATTCCTCCAATTGTATTGTTCGGTGAATAGGTAAACGAAACTGTTTGTTTCAATATAGATTTTGGCATCTTTGTCGCCGGTTTTGATGATGGATTTTTAAGACTTTCACTTGATTGTTGTACGGGTATTACTTCGAATCGAGACATTTTTCTCATTGTTTCCTTAGGTGATGAATTCAATGATGTTGATGCAGTTGTTGTTGCCGTAGTTGTTGCTGTTGATGTTAATCGATCTGGAATGCTTATACTTGATATAGCATCCTGAATTGAATAACGACGTCTTACTTCTTGTAAACGACGTTCACGACTTAATCGTTGTTGAGCTAATCGTAATAATTCTTCACGTTGAATTGAACCTAAAAGTATCATATTAATACCATTATCAACTAATGGAAATTGTTGTAAACTTCGATGACTATCCAATACTTTTTTTATATCACGATATGTACAATTACGCCATATAAATGTAACATCACGAATCATAAAATCTTCGACAAATACATTATGTGCTAATGATGAAGTACTAAGAATTGGCGGTAAAAATGGTAAACGTTTGATTTGAATAATTGAATCATATATAGATAAATCTAATGTTTGACCGATAGCATTTGCTATTAATACGGCAACTAATACTGGTATCATATGTGTCATTTGTCCGGTTAATTCGAATACTATGACCGATGTACTGATCGTATGTGTTACGGCACCGGTAAATGCTGCCGCACCTTTTATAATAAAAAAAATCATCGATGAAAATTAAACTAAAATAGATGATATTAAAATAACTTACCAACAACAGCATAACCACCAGGTACAATCGGTGTTGTAAAACCTTCGAATGGAATACCATATGGAAATGCTAATGCCATAATTTCACCAGCTAATCTACCGAAAGCGGCACCAATTTTAAATACTGGAATAAAAGTACCACTTGGTACCGGTACGGTCGATGCCAATAATGACATCCATACAGTCATAAGAATATAAATAATAAGATTCATATAAATGGATGTATGATCAGTTGACCAATGTTTAACCATTTTTAATCTTGTTGAATCATTTGATTCAAGACCCCATGTTATATTACTGAAAAGATCTTCTAATGTATCATGAGTTGATAGCTAAAAAATATTTTTCATTTAATTAATCTGAAATTCAGTTTTTTTTCAAAACTTACTGTTGATGCTAAGTATTGGCCCATAAATGGTGGAAATGATATGGTTGTCAATAAGAATGTAACAATACCGGGATAGATAAATCGGCTACGAAAATCAGGTAAAGAATAAAGAATTTCAAATACTGGACACTAATTTTATTCGAACATACTTTTTCTGTAAAAATGAATTCATTTTCTTTTGACTACGTATAAATTGAACAATTTTACGATGAAATTTTACATAACCAGCACCACCAAATCCACATATAACACCGATAAATGCAAAAATAAATAATTCTTGTGGATCGAATGGAAAATCTGAACGAAAACTTGTTTTAAACAATGCTGTAATTGCCGCTTCTTTTTTAAACCAAACACCATATAAACGCCAAACAGTTGCACTACAACAGGCGGCAAAAAATCCACGCCAATAATTGCGAACAGCGAAAAAAACTGTCGTTACTTCTACCGAAAATAATACACCACCGATCGGTGCATAAAATGTTGCCGCAACACCTATAAATCAAATTAATGGATTTTTAAAAAAAATTTTAAAAATAAATATTTGCATGTCATTATTGTCATCATTAATTTCATTTCCATAACAATTGGATAATAAATTTAAAATGAATTATAGAAAAAAAAACTTACCAACAGCACATGCAGCAGCTAACATTTCACCTGTTCTTGATTCATTATCATAGATACCCTGAAATGATGCAATCAATTTCGAAAGTAATGTTGCAACAATTGATGCTACATGTACAAAACTAATACAACTTTAGTCTTGAAAAATAGGTCTTAATAGATTAATGTAATTCAATACGTACGGTCCTTCTTTTCCCAATGGTAATCCACTGCCAAGTGTACAGGTAAGGCCAACAATTTTAGCAATCAATGTACGAAATGTTAGATATTCATATAATATAACGCCTTAATTGATTGATTGATTAATTAGACTAATTACGGAAAATAACTATAAATCTTACATACCACGTAAAATTGTTTTCATTTCAGGTATACCGGAACCAACAGCTTGTGGTGAAACTAAATGAGCAAAACCGGCAGCAAATAATACTAAAAAAACTGGAATAGCTGTCCAACCAATATAACGAAATAAAAGATTTTGATTGAGCAATTCATCATAAAGCCATATTCTTGATATTTGGCATTGACTAATAAAAAAATCCATTATAAAACTAATAGTGGCCATTATAATGCCAAGCATAGCTAAAAATAGCCAATCTTCACCAATCTTGGCAAACGTATATTTCCATATTATTCTACAGCATGCTAATTGAAGAATTTAAATTTAAAAAAAAAAGATTTTAATTAATTTTGTCTTTAAATGAAAATTTTCATACAAAAATTAGGTTTTCTTAGGGAAAAAAATTACATCAAATAGGTCAATAGAAAGCAAAAAAAGTAAAAAATGGAACCAATTTTTTTACATGTTAAAAACAAAAAAAAAATGATTGCCTAGAAAACTCTCTTGACCCAAAATGATAGAGAAAATAAAGATTGTCATGGCATAATTACAAATGATAGATTAGAGAAAAAAAAAACGGGAACAAACAAACAATTTTTTTAAACAAAGAAAAGCGGAAAAAAAGACAACAAAGGATATGAAATGTTTTTTGAAAATTAATGAATCAAACGTGTTGAAACATTGATTAATTTCATTGAATTAATTGAAAAAAAACATTCCGGACTTAATGAGAATGATGATAATGCAATATTGAAACAAAACAAAACAAAAACAAACCGAATATAATGGCTATTGTTGACAATTGATATTGAACAAGATGACAAGATTTTTTCATCATCATCATCATCATCATCATCATTTTGTTATGAACATTGAAATTCGTACATTGAACATCAAGAACATATTCTATTCTTGACGACGACGACGATTGTGGTGATGATGATGATGAAGTCCAAGATCATAATGTTCATGATGATGATGATGATGGTGATAATGAAAAAAAAAAATAAATTTCTGAATTGATTAAACAGGTGTGGATGTTGTAATCATTATTACCTGTATTATCATTATCATCATCATCATCCTAATTCATGATCATGTTCTTGACCTTGAATGAATGGATGGTCGAAATAAGAAAAAAATTCTTGGCTTCATTTTTTTTTTTTTTTGTTCAAGTTGTCAAGAACTGAGTTGCCTGCTGATGAAAAAATTTTGTTTATTTTTTTCAAATTAAAATTTAACTTTTTTTCTGTTTGTTTCCTCAAACCAAAAACAGAAATCCAGTTCATTTTAAAGAGAAAAATTAGTCCAAGAAAAAATGGACAAATATCTATGGAATGTCACATTATTAACCTGGCACATCTCTCATTTTTTTTCTTGTCAAAATTTCCCGAGAGAGAAGAAAAGAAAGAGAAAAATCAGAACAATATTGATCGCATAAGGAAAGGGTGAAATAAACAGAAACAAACCAGTTAATTTTCGTTGATATTTTTCTGGTAGAATAAATTTTCGTTCACGTTTTTGTAATTTTCCATCAATCAATTTTTGTGCATGTGTTCGTGCAAATCTACCCAAATCTTCTTTATATTGGCCATACATCTATAGTTTCAACAAAACAAACAAAAACCATGTGCAACAAGTGATCAATCAAAAAAAAAAAAAAAAAAAAAATCAACTTACCAAAGTTTGCTGAAAATCCAGCGCAGCTTGTTTAGATGATGATGGGGATTTTGATGACATTTTTTTTCTTCTTTCTTCTTTTTATCGCATCAAATGATAAAATTAACAACAACAAAAAAATTGATAAAATTCTGAAGAAATTTGTTCTTGCAAACAAACAAACAAAGAAAGAGATTCTAGAAATTTTTTTAAAAAACCTAAATTTTTCGCCAAAAAAGTAATAACATTCTGCAACAATTATTTACATTTTTTTCAAAATTCTTTATTTCAAATTGTTTCAATGATGATGATGATGATCATATGTGAAAAAAATTCTTGTTGTTGTTGTTATTGTTGATCTATCTATGCTTGATTCGTTTGTAAAATACTAAAGTACACAAAGAGAGATAGATTGATAGATAGGGAGTGGATAGAGAAACAAAAGACATCACCATGAATTGTGAAGAAATTGTGAATGCGCTGAACGAATATAAAATAATTAATGAAATGATTTCTTTTGTTGATGTTGTATCCTGTATGCGTGTGTTTTCTTTTAAATACTTTTGCCAAAAAAAATCAAATCAAAGGGTTGTATTATAATGATATGTTTGTTGACAGAAATTGAAAGATGATGATGATAAAAAATGTTCAAATGATGATGTTTTACAAATGAATGACAATGAAAACTTGGAAATACTTTAAAGAAATTAAATTAAAAAAAAATACTGTAATATTTATCTATTCGATTTTAAACACAGGTAATTATTTCTATTATAAAAAATTTTTTTTTACCTATCAAAATACTGCATCTATCTGAAGATTGAAATTATTTTGTCATGTTACCAGTGTGTGTCATAATGAACAAGATATGTATGTGTATGTGTATATCACAACAGCAACTCAACAAGAAGAAAAAAATTGTTTTGATTTAACAACGTTGTTGTTTTGGGATTTTCAGTGAGAAAAAAAAATCATTGACATTCTGTGTGTTATTTTGATATTTCGTATGTGTATTGCATTTGAAATAAATACAAAAATTGATGGCTATTTTCATTCATCTGGATATGAAAAGAATCGCGATTATTGTTGTTATTGTCGTGGTCTATTTTGATTGATGGATGATGATGATGATGATGATCAACAGGTTGTTGAATATTCTGAATTTTAATCTGATTAGCGGGTGGGTATGTTGAAGGTGGATGGATGAATGGATGAACGAGAGAGACAAAAAAAAAGAATGACAATCAAAAAAAAAAGTTTGATCGAAAGAGAGGAAAAGAAAGATTTTTTAAAAAAATGAAATGGGAAGTCTATAGACACAAATGTGTTTGTTGTTTGTATGACGATTTGAATCTAAAGGGAAATTTTTTTTATGCAATAAAGGATTGTGGATAGAGAAAAGAGAATGAAAATTAGATAGAAGGAAAGGAAACTATGACACTGAGAGAGAGAAAAAGAGAAAGAAAGAAACAGACATTTGGAATTACCAATATTTCATCATTAAATAATGAAAATTATCGATTTAAAAATGATAATTTTAAAAAGTTTTTGCCAATTTGAATTTACAAATTTCAATTAAAAATGCACGATGTTCAATCATCGTTGACGTTTGTTAGATGCTGTTGTTATGGTGGTAGCCGTCGATCAATTTCGGCGTTTTTTGTTTGTTAGTTGCTTATTTTCACTGTATTCACTCAAAAAAAAAAAAAAAAAAAAAAAAAAAAAAAAAAAAAAACGACGACGACGAAGATTTGGGGGGGAAAAACGGGGCCGCGGAGAGGGGGAGGACAA